GAGAGAGAGAGAGAGAGAGAGAGAGAGAGAGAGAGAGAGAGAGGGAGGAGAGCCTGAGGCTGGGTGGGCAGGCAGGCACGAGCCAGCTGCCTTCAGGACAGGCCATGCCCACTGCAACCCTGTGCTGAGCTTGGAGCCTGGCACTGGGCAGCCTCTCTGGAGAGAGCTGAGGAGGGCATGGGCCAGTGGGCTGGGGTGCTGGGCCAGAAGAGGACCCCCGGTGTTCTCCCCCAGGGTGGTGGCTGAGTTGAGGGGTGGGCTGGGTCTTGGCTTCTGGCAGATGGGTGCTGGGGGAGGTGGGCCTGGGTCCCCACTGGCTTTTTCTTAGTGGAGCCAGGAGGTCCAGGGGACTGGAGGGACCTTTGAGGGACTGTCTCCTGTAGCCAGCAGGCAGCATGGGTTCTGGAACGTGGGGCTCAGCCCGGCCCTTAGCAGGCGCCCAGGAGGCAGAACAGGCTCCTGCCAATTAGCTGGCTCTGGGGTCCAGAGAAGGAGGCCACATCAAAATGCTGGTCCTAGAATTTGGCTCGAGCCCTTCCTGCTGCCTTCCTGCTGCCCTAATTGCCCTGCCCTGGGTGGTTGGGAAATTGGGGTTCACTCTGGAAAAGCTGAGGAGCAGTCTGCTTTCACAGTCTCACTTGGTGGAGAAAACTCAGGCAGCAGAGGGAGCGGAGGGAGGCTGCCGCGGGGGGCTGCCTGCTACGGCTAAATTGTTCGCTGCGTGCAGGCAGCATGCATAGCAGGCCCCTCTTGGCACTCGAGGTGTCTTGGAAATGCACTTCGCCCCTGCGCTCTCCACTCACAGCCGCGGGCTCCAAGAGCCGAGCCAGCGTTTGGCTGTCTGGTTTCTCTGCTTGAAAGCACTGACTTTGAAAGCTACATCCGGAAAGGAATGAACTTGAGGCTGCTTTCCCGAGCAGAGTCTTTCCAAAATGTTATTTCTGCCACTTTGTTTGCTGCTGTGGCCTGCAGGCTTGGTGGACGGGAGTGGAGAGAGTTTATCATACGGAGCTAGGTGTTTTTCAGAATTAGGAAAAGACAGGAGCATTTGAGGAGGGTGCTTTTGCAGACAGCATTTTCAAGTCTCCTGTGAAGAGGGCTGTAGGATGCAAGCTGCTTTGGAGATGGTCCCTGTCCCTGCAGCTCTGTGAACATATGTGAGTCCTTGTGCAATGGCTTGGTTCTTCCCGCTCCCATGGAGACGCTGAAGGGGACTCGGCTAGAAGTTCAAACACTGCCTCTCTGTCTGCTGTTTAGTGGTGGAAAAAAATTGTTATATGGGAAATTAATGTTTCATTGAAACCAACGCAAATTACCATTTTATGGACCCAGATTGGGCTGTGTATAGATGGCTCCAGGCTTGCATCTCTGGGAAGCAGCGGCATTATTTGAAGGTGGATAAATATTCCAGAGCGCCAGTCTTTGCCTCTGGGTTGTGGTTTCATGTTACCCAGGTGGGAAATGTGCTCCCAACCTGGTCGCCGTGTTCTGGGAAGCGTGTGCCGGTGACGCTCACTCTGAGTGCAGCCCACTCTTCTTTGAATTTCAACTTTGAAGTGTCCTTTTGTTTTGACTGTGATTGTCCCAGGGCCAATGCCCCCCACCCGTGTGCCCAGGCACATTGGCGCCTCCCTCTCCTCACTCCTGCGCATGCATGCAGAGAATTCTGAGCAGATGAACCTCGCTGTCTCCCGGGTCCTGATAAACTCAAGCTTTGTGCATATTTTATACTCAGAGAGCTAGAGCTGCAGCGAGTTTGTGCAGGAAGTTGGTCCTTGGCTGACACCAGGTTCCTGGAGGGCAGGTGCACTGCTTGCTAGGGTTGCTGTGACGAAGGACAAGGCTGGGTGGCCTGAACCACTGTTCAGGGGCTGGAGGTCACAGGATCACAGGGCTGGCCTCGCCGCCTGCAGTTGCTCTCTCGGCCTCTAGGTGGCATCTTTCCTGTGCTCATAGGTTCACCCCTCTGTGTGGGTTGTGTTCTCCCCACCCTTCTGGTAAAAACACTTGGATTAAGGCCCTCTGTGAGGACCCCATTATAACTTAATTACTATTCAAAAGGCTCCACCTCCAGATGCAGTTAATTTGAAGGTGCTGGGGGTTAAATGTTTGGGGGAGAGCGAACACAACGCAGCCTCCAGGAGCAGAGAGAGGGATGGACCTCCCTTTGCATCCCTGTGCTTAGCATTATGGAGCCCCCTGAGCTGGGGAGGTGGATGTGAACAGCTAGATGCTGGGGGTGGGTGTCATCTTCCTGGTGACACTCAGATGACCTCAAGCTGCGTGCTGCCTAAAGAGTGTGTGGGTAGAATGCATGGCGGCTGGGAGGGACGTTCCGGCAGAAGGATCGGTGTGAGCCAGACCTGGGGGCCAGGAGTTTGGAGATGCAGGTGTGTGGAGGAGACACAGTGAATGCGTCGTGCTTGGGGAGCAGGTGGGACAGGTGGGATCAGCTCTGATGGACCCCGGATGTGGCGCAGAAGAGCCTGCGTGGCTGTGTGCGACAGTGGCTGCCTGGTGCGTGTTCTGGCTCTGAGAATTCTTGGTGACCACCTCTTGGAGACAGACAGGTGAAGGCTCAGAGATCAGCAGTGCAGATCCTGCACCCGGCATGTAGACCCCAGTCTGGTGTGGGCAGGAGCGCAGACAGGGCACGATGAGGCCTGGCCTGGGTGCGAAGCACTGCTGAGGGATCGTAGGACAGAAGCGGTCTCGGGGGAGGGTGCACAGGTGGGCGGCTGCCTGTCAGCCTCTCTCTTCAGGGTGGCACTTGCATCGGGGCCTGACGGTGGCCTCCAGCGTGCTGAGACCAGGTCCAGTGACGGAGCTGAGCAGTGGCCGGCACCAGTGGCTGTGTGTTCCCACGGTCAGTTCCACTCCCCTTAGAGGTGGGCTTGGTCCCTGCAGGGCTCTGAGTCTTCCTTTGAAGGTGATGAAACTTTCTGCCTGCTATTTTGGAATCCGGGCCCTCACCGCAAAGTGATCCCCCAGTGTTTGGGGTGGAGGCTGGGTCGGAGCGAGGCGGCTCACGGTCAGGCGCGGGTGTGCATGTCCCGGTGCAGCGCTTCTCTGCCATGGCAGCCGTCACCCAGGTGCCCAGCGGCCACCGGAGCCAGACAGAGGCAGACAGAGGTCAGGCCGCGCGCCGAGTGCCTGTCATACTTTCTGTCAGGAGCTGGTTGTCAGCAGGCAAGCCAGATGGGACCCTGGGCCTGCTATCTGGATGAAGATGACAAGGGAGTCCAGGCTGCGTGCTGTGGGCAGGTGACAGTAATGGTGCTCTGTGCCTGGTGGTTAGGGCCAGGGAGGTCTGGGCAACAAAGCCTGCAGGCTCTCACTTAGGGCTTTTGCCCTGCGCTCTGGGACTCAGAGTGACTTGGGGGAGACATCACAGCTGGCTGAGACCCTCGGGAGG